CCCAACACAACCCAACACAGCCCAACACAGCCCAACACGACCCAACACAGCCCAACACGACCTAACACAACCCAACACAACCAAACACAGCCCAACACAACCTAACACAGCCCAGCACAGCCCAACACAACCCAGCACAGCTGAACACTACCCAACCAAACACAGCCCTACACAAACCAACACAGCTCAACATGACCCAACACAGCTCAACATGACCCAACACAGCCCAACACAACCCAATACAAACCAACACAACCCAATACAAACCAACACAACCCAACACAGCTCAACATGACCCAACACAGCCCAACACAACCTAATACAAACCAACACAGCTCAACATGACCCAACACAGCCCAACACAGCTCTACATGACCCAACACAGCCCAACGCAACCCAATCTCTTGCCTTAACATCTACCAGGAGCCCTGAATTCATTTGGTATTGTCCTACTGTCCAATACAACAGTGACTATTCTAATGTCCGATGTGACTTTATCTCCTGTAGGTGTATATTCAATGTTTGCTTTTTCTTACAAAAACGGGATTCCATCTCCTGAAAGACCCATTGAGCAAAGATTGTCCCCTGTCAGGAGCTCTGGGGGGAAAGTCTCTTGCCTTAAAAACTGTTTCTGGCTGTACCGGTGCGTACAAAGCAATCAGATGCGGGCTGCCTATCTGTCTCCTACAAATATAACATCCTGTTTTCCTATTTCCATCTCTTTCATTGTCTGTCTTATATATTTCACATCCTCTGATCCATCCATCCATCCATCCAAGGCTGCACACAAACTCCCTTGGACTGAGTACAGACCCTCCATCCAAGGCTGCACACAAACTCCCTTGGACTGAGTACGGACCCTCCATCCAAGGCTGCACAAAAACTCCCATGGACTGAGTACAGACCCTCCATCCAAGGCTGCACAAAAACTCTCATGGACTGAGTACGGCCCCTCCATCCAAGGCTGCACACAAACTCCCATGGACTGAGTACAGACCCTCCATCCAAGGCTGCACACAAACTCCCATGGACTGAGTACAGACCCTCCATCCAAGGCTGCACACAAACTCCCATGGACTGAGTACAGACCCTCCATCCAAGGCTGCACAAAAACTCTCATGGACTGAGTACGGACCCTCCATCCAAGGCTGCACACAAACTCCCATGGACTGAGTACGGACCCTCCATCCAAGGCTGCACAAAAACTCCCATGGACTGAGTACAGACCCTCCATCCAAGGCTGCACACAAACTCCCATGCACTGAGTACGGACCCTCCATCCAAGGCTGCACACAAACTCCCATGGAATGAGTACAGACCCCTTCCTTGTCTTGGAGTGAACAAAATGCATTCCTTTCTAATGAACTCATAGTCGCCTGGCTCACTTACCCAGACCCTTTTATATCGTATTGCAATAACCATCATGACTTTACCAACGTTCCATAATCATATATCTTTCTAATGTACTTTATGTGGAAATGGGTGCTTGTGGGAGATCCTCAGGCTCAACACCACCTTAGCATCTGTGAATTGAGGCTGCCATAGCATCTATGACACTCCCAAAGCATCTGTCTCATGTATCTCCAGGGCAAGGTGAGAGCAAAAACAGAATAAAATAGGTACTCACCCGGCTGTGGAGATCCCACTTCTAACACCAGGTTGCTAGGGTCCCAATTTTAGAGTTCCCCGGGTTTCGATCATGCTGTCAGCTTCAGACAAGTACTTGGGAATAATGACAGACCCCGTAACTTGTAAGGAGAAGGAGCCTTGACTGCTGGAATATCACGCAGCAAGGATGTGGTCAGTAAAATGGACCCCTACTGTATAAGGAGGCGTAATTAATTATTAATGGGGGGGAGCTTACATTGGTGGAGACCAGCAAAGTGTTATATGTGGGCTTGCTGGCCTCTTGGGAGTTGACCAGCAAGCTGAACATCCCCGCCCACCCTCCCCTATTTTTTTCTTTACTGTCACAGCTTTGTTGGCATGTTTCTGTTACCACGTTAACTTTGCTGACTTTCTTTGATAGTTGGACATCTGTCTAGAACTTATGGTGGAGACAGATTTGCTGCATTGTGTTATAAAGTCCTGATGTTTGGGTGCTCACGGTTTATCCATGACTGGCACGATTTAATGCAAACAGAAAAGAGAGTTATGTTTTACATGATGATAATACATCTGTACCTGCTTCACCTTCTGTGATGTGGCTACTAGACATTTAGTGATAGTCGGGGCTGTAGTCAGCCTGGCTGGATTTATAGTGGCAGTTATGTGGTTTATTCCCGGTGTTTGGCATTGCCTGTACCCCCCCCTGAGCGGAGTGTGACTTGGCTATATTGTAGGACAGCCAATGAGAGATGCTATAGTGTATGTACAGTACAGCAGCCAATCACTGGATTCCTCCCAACCAGTGGTACATGTTGGGATAGGGTACATATACTGGTGGGATCTGCCATGTGCTCAGACTAGCCGGGACCAGCTATGGATTTGGGCTGGGTGCTGTTCAGCCTGCCCTCCCAGGCTAGGCATGAGGCCTGGGGGTGGGCATGGGCTGGTGTGAAGTAAAGGTTTCCATGAGGCCTCCAACATGGAGGAGGTCTGTGTTACTGTCAGGAGGAAGAGACCCAGGACCAATGCAGGCTCTTGAAGTTTCCTGGAACCTGAGGACTTCAGGAGCATGGCCGGTGTCTTTCCTGTTGAGGATCTATATACACCCTGCTCATCTGCTACTTCAGTTGCCATCGAATGCCTCCCAAGTGGATCTACACTGATATGCCAACCAGGTCTGGTGAGTCTGGAATCAAAGTCTGTTACACTCTGGAAGCCTAGAATCCCTACACACTCTCTCCCCAGTGAAGATGTTCAATATAAGTCATTCAGCATTGTACTACTGGAGTGGACATCAGTTTGTGGGCACTAGAAGATGGGCGGTTAGTGCTAATGGGCGGGCAGCTGAAGATCATACCCTAGACAGACTAGAGATGAACCGGCATCCAGCGGCTCCTTCGGGGGTGAGCGCTACACGTCAATAAAGCTGTCGCCTTCCAACAAAGTTATTTTGTCAAGTATTCATTGGCGGTGGGAGGGCAAAGGTAATGAAAGCATTCTCAACGTAAAAAAAGTGTTTAACTATGATCCTCAGCAGTCAAGAGTCACACCAACTTATGTAT